TGATTTGGAAGCATGGAATCTCAAGTCGCTGGAGCGTGTGGATTGTGTTGAAGTGATATGTGATAAGGACTCAGTTGAGCAGCGAGGGAAGAAGTGGGAACATGCCCGGGTGATGCTACGAGATCAGCCTTTGCCCCAGCTACCGGCGGAAGAATTACGGGACCACGACTGCGCTGCTACTGCTACAGGGAAAGAGAGTCCGATTATTCGGGAGGACAGCATCATGAGCTTGGTCGTGCTCTCGTCACGCGGCTCCCAAAGCTCCAGGCGCTTGCAAAAAATGACTGGGCGCCACTCAAGAGGCGGGAGGAGAGCATCATGAACATCAGCTGGGTCGTCTTCACGTCAAGTGGCCCCCAAGGCTCCAGGCGCTTGAAAAACCACTTCCCGAATGACTGGGCGCCATTCAAGAGGCGGGAGGAGAGCATCGCGCCAAGTGGCCCCCAAAGTTCCAGGCGCTTGCAAATTGCACTGCCCGAATGACTGAGCGCCGTTCAAGAGGCGGGAGGAGAGCATCATGAGCGTCAGCTGGGCCCCCAAGGCTCCAGGCGCCCGCTGCCCGAATGACTGTTGTCGCCGTGAGCATCAGCAGGGTCGTGTTCTCGCCACGTGCTCCCAAAGCTCCAGGCGCTTGCAAAACCCCACTGCCGGAATGACTGGGCGCCATTCAAGAGGCGGGAGGAGAGCATCGTGAGCATCAGCTGGGTCGTGTTCTCGTCCAAAGCTCCAGGCGTTTGCAAATTGCAAGGCCCCGCTGCCCGAATGACTGGGCGACATTCAAGAGGCGGGAGGAGAGCGTCATGAGCGTCAGCTGTCGTGCGTGGCCCCCTAAGCTCGGCGCCTGCAAAACCCCGCGCCGCTCTAGAGGCGGGACAAAAACATCATCAGCATCAGCTGCGTCGTGTTCTCCTCGCGTGGCCCCTAAAGCTCCCTTGCGAAACCCACTGCCCGAATGACTGGGCGCCATTCATCAGCTGGGTCGTGTTCTCGTCGCCTCCAGGCGCTTGCAAAACCCCATTACCAGAATGACTGGGTGCCATTCAAGAGGCGGGAGGAGAGCATCGTGAGCATCAGCTGGGTCGTTCTCGTCACGTGGCCCTCAAAGCTTGAGGCACTTGCTGCCCGAAGAGCTGCAAAACCCCACTGCTTGAGTGATAGGGCGTTCAAGAGGCGGGAGGAGAGCATCGTGAGCATCAGCTGGGTCTGGATTAGAAGTGTGGAACCTCCAGTCACCAAAACAGGGTGTTTTTTGCGTGTGGGGTCGCCAGGCCCGTGTGCGGCGTGGTCGTGGCCAGCGACTTCTGCTGAACGCAGTCCCGAGCTCCACAAAAGCATGGGGCCGGCACGGCTTCCAGCCGGTGCCAGAAACCGCGTGTGGGCGTTGTGTGCCCATGGCCAAGGAGGCTGGGGCAAGGGAAACCCCGATACCCCCCAAACCCCCGCCCCTTCATTGTCCTGCCTGGGCAACAGCCGCTACAGCTCTAGCCCTAAACTTAAAACTGTTAGTAAATCAAGGTGGCGGAACCCGGAAGGCCAACGCTGCTGAGCAGCGCCCCGGGCTGGAACCTTCAGGGTTTGAAAGGGTTTGAGAATGTTTCGGGGTTCTTGCTTTTTTTGGCACCGTGACGCGTGCGGCTGCGCGTCAGACACACGCGTGTGTGCAGCGCACGCATGCGCACGCGCGCGCCGCAAGATGCATGATATACACAGACACTACATGTACATGCACACTCGCGTAACACATACAGACAATACACACATGCACGTGCAACTCTTTCACTTTCTGTACGCATGAGACGCATGACAGGAGAACCTCGCTGCAGTCGATGTTTTCGCTTCCTGTGCAGGTGCTGTAGGGGACATGGTGGATCTACTGCGCGTTTGGGTGACCCCGAAAACCTCGCTGTGGTCGATGTTTTCGCTTCTGTAGGGGAGCCAGGGCACTGCGCGTTTGGGTGTCACTTCCAGGGGAGCTGGGGGATCTACTGCGCGCCGCCTCGAAAACCTCGCTGTGGTCGCTGTAGGTGCTGTAGGGCAGCTGGGGGATCAACTGCTCGAAAACCTCGCTGCGGTTGATGTTCTCGCTTTCATGGCTGTAGGGGAGGGATTTACTGCGCGTTTGGGTGACCCCGCCTCGAAAAACCTCCCTGTTGTCGAAAACCTCGCTGTGGTCGTTTTCGCTTCCTGTGGGGGAGCTGAATCTACTGCGCGTTTGGGTGACCCCGCCCCGAAAACCTTCCTGTGTCAGGGCTGTAGTGGACCCGGGGGATCAACTGCGCGTTTGGGTGACCCCACCTCGAAAGCTTTACAACCTTCGCAAAAACCATGGGGATGAAATTCTAGGTTCTTGAAAACCTTTGCAAAAGCCATGGGTATTAAATTCTTGGTGCTGTGCTTCAAAGCCCTACGCAAAAAACCATGGGGATAAAATTCCGGGTGCTTCAACGCCCCCGCAAAGACCATGGGGATCAAATAATAAACTACCATGGGGATAAATTTCCGGGTGCTTCAAGAACCCTCGCAAGATCCTCTGACATACGCTCAACATGTTTGCGTACGCTCTTGGCGACGTGTCCGTGACCTGTTCCGGGAAACAGGCGTCGTTGGTTGCTGGAGTGCTAGAAACATCGGCGCATTTGTGTGTTGTGGGATCGTGAAACGTAGCTTTTGGCTGCAGCCATCTCTGAATGTTTGGCTGCCAAAGATTAATACACTGGTTCCACTTCATGGCGGTCGGTTCGTGACACACAGACACCATGCACGACAAGTGACGACCTGTTACGGGAAGTCGAGCTCCGCCGCTACCGCACTCCGCGTGCATTCACACTTCGCGCTATCCTTTCCCACCTGGTTCGCGGTAGTCATTCTATGTTTTCTGCATTTTCCCACTTGGCGGTCACGTTTCCTTCTCTTGTCTGTTTCAAGTCGCTCTACGTCTTTCTCCATGTTGTCCTCTTGGCGATCAGGTTTGCTTGTCTTGTCTGCTTCACGTCATTCAATGTCTTTCTGCATTTCTCCTCTTGGCGGCCACGTTTTATTCTCTTGTCTGTTTCAAGTCGCATCATTCTTTCATACTCCTCACGCGCGGTGCCAACAAAGAATAGAGATGTGGGGTTATCCGGCACTAGGAATGTTGCGGTGGGTTTACGGTTTCGATGGTTCTTTGATCAGGTTTTACATGGGGTTTCGTAGGGGGATGCCTCGAGCATTTTTTGTGTTGTTGTTATACGATGTTGGTTGCGAAAGGATCCCCAAAAAAGGATGACAGTTGGGCCTAGGAGCGTGAAAGTAGCAGCTAAGCTGAGGTAAGGCACATGAGCCCAACGCCTCGAAGACGCAGGACGCGTGGATCCAACCTGCAAGCTTCCCTGCAATTGCAGGGTTAAACCAAAACCCTTCAGTAGTGGTTTAGGGTTTAAGATGTTCGGCTTCTGTAGCAGTTTCAGTTTTTTGCGTTTTTCGGAAGTTCCCTCAGTAGTGGTTTAGGGTTTAAGATGTTCGGCTTCTGTAGCAGTTTCATTTTATTGCGTTTTTCGGAAGTTTAGCTGGTTCTTGAGATCAGGTGTTCAGTGGGCTTTCGAACTTGGAGTTTCGGTTGGAAACATCTTTTAGCTTTGGATCCCATGACTTCCTGTTGCTCTAGCTGGTTCTACCTCCTGGTGGTGTCTCTCACTTGGCAAGTTTTCAGAAAAGCATCATGGCGCCATCGGTGACAGAATTCCTGTGAGGACCGGGAACTGCAGCTTAAAGACCAGATCCACAAGCTGGAAGGTGCTCTGGGCCTGGAATCGCACAGGGCAATGGGTCGCTGCTGGAGCGAGTCTGATGCTGCACTTCCCCTCGGGAGGTGAAGTTGATCAGTGGAAGCAGCGACTTGAAGAGCCCCACGGCGAGGCGTGTGACGGGGGAGCCTGCTGTCTGAATGTCTGCTGAGTTCTCGTGCTATGCCATGCCGACCACTTTAAGGTCAGGGTTTTCAGGGCTGTGGGTGTTTATGGCTTAGGTTTTTCCTTAGATTCGCTGGACTCAGGCTTTATGGGATTTGCAGCTTCTAGGGTGTATTTCTTTTGGTATTTTGGGTTTTCGGGTTTCGAGTGTAGGGTTGATGGGTGGCACTCAGGTAACCTCCCGATTATAAAGGTTTTCAGGCTGAGAATTTTCATGGTTTCGGTTGTTTAGGCTTCAAGGGTTTCAGGTTCAGAGTTTTGGGGGTTTGCGCTTTTCAGTTTACTCGAAGTTTCCTCTAGGTTTCGAGTGCCCGTGCCCTATAAGTCGAGCGGCTCGCGAAGGAGACTGAGGAACGACTGGTCAAGGAAGCTGCCGAAGCAGAGGCGGCCAAGAAGGCGGAAGAGGAGCGCTTATCTGAGGAAGCCAGGAAGGCAGATGAGGCGCGAGTGGCCATGGCGGCTAAGACGGCCGAACTGGAGCGGCTCGCGAAGGAGATTGAGGAACGACTGGTCAAGGAAGCTGCCGAAGCAGAGGCGGCCAAGAAGGCGGAAGAGGAGCGCTTAGCTGAGGAAGCCATAAAGGCAGATGAGGCGCGAGTGGCCATGGCGGCTAAGACGGCCGAACTGGAGCGGCTCGCGAAGGAGACTGAGGAACGACTGGTCAAGGAAGCTGCCGAAGCAGAGGCGGCCAAGAAGGCGGAAGAGGAGCGCTTAGCTGAGGAAGCCAGGAAGGCAGATGAGGCGCGAGTGGCCATGGCGGCTAAGAAGGCCGAAGAGGAGCGGCTCGCGAAGGAGATTGAGGAACGACTGGTCAAGGAAGCTGCCGAAGCAGAGGCGGCCGAGAAGGCCGAAGAGGAGCAATTAGCTGAGGAAGCCAGGAAGGCAGATGAGGCGCGAGTGGCCATGGCGGCTAAGAAGGCCGAAGAGGAGCGGCTCGCGAAGGAGATTGAGGAACGACTGGTCAAGGAAGCTGCCGAAGCAGAGGCGGCCAAGAAGGCGGAAGAGGAGCGCTTAACTGAGGAAGCCAGGAAGGCAGATGAGGCGCGAGTGGCCATGGCGGCTAAGACGGCCGAACTGGAGCGGCTCGCGAAGGAGACTGAGGAACGACTGGTCAAGGAAGCTGCCGAAGCAGAGGCGGCCAAGAAGGCGGAAGAGGAGCGCTTAGCTGAGGAAGCCGCGCGAGTGGCCATGGCGGCTAAGAAGGCCAAAGAGGAGCGGCTCGCGAAGGAGATTGAGGAACGACTGGTCAAGGAAGCTGCCGAAGCAGAGGCGGCCAAGAAGGCGGAAGAGGAGCGCTTAGCTGAGGAAGCCATAAAGGCAGATGAGGCGCGAGTGGCCATGGCGGCTAAGACGGCCGAACTGGAGCGGCTCGCGAAGGAGACTGAGGAACGACTGGTCAAGGAAGCTGCCGAAGCAGAGGCGGCCAAGAAGGCGGAAGAGGAGCGCTTAGCTGAGGAAGCCAGGAAGGCAGATGAGGCGCGAGTGGCCATGGCGGCTAAGAAGGCCGAAGAGGAGCGGCTCGCGAAGGAGATTGAGGAACGACTGGTCAAGGAAGCTGCCGAAGCAGAGGCGGCCGAGAAGGCCGAAGAGGAGCAATTAGCTGAGGAAGCCAGGAAGGCAGATGAGGCGCGAGTGGCCATGGCGGCTAAGAAGGCCGAAGAGGAGCGGCTCGCGAAGGAGATTGAGGAACGACTGGTCAAGGAAGCTGCCGAAGCAGAGGCGGCCAAGAAGGCGGAAGAGGAGCAATTAGCTGAGGAAGCGAGGAAGGCAGATGAGGCGCGAGTGGCCATGGCGGCTAAGAAGGCCGAAGAGGAGCGGCTCGCGAAGGAGATTGAGGAACGACTGGTCAAGGAAGCTGCCGAAGCAGAGGCGGCCAAGAAGGCGGAAGAGGAGCGCTTATCTGAGGAAGCCAGGAAGGCAGATGAGGCGCGGGTGGCCATGGCGGCTAAGACGGCCGAAGAGGAGCGGCTCGCGAAGGAGATTGAGGAACGACTGGTCAAGGAAGCTGCCGAAGCAGAGGCGGCCAAGAAGGCGGAAGAGGAGCAATTAGCTGAGGAAGCGAGGAAGGCAGATGAGGCGCGAGTGGCCATGGCGGCTAAGAAGGCCGAAGAGGAGCGGCTCGCGAAGGAGATTGAGGAACGACTGGTCAAGGAAGCTGCCGAAGCAGAGGCGGCCAAGAAGGCGGAAGAGGAGCGCTTATCTGAGGAAGCCAGGAAGGCAGATGAGGCGCGGGTGGCCATGGCGGCTAAGACGGCCGAAGAGGAGCGGCTCGCGAAGGAGATTGAGGAACGACTGGTCAAGGAAGCTGCCGAAGCAGAGGCGGCCAAGAAGGCGGAAGAGGAGCAATTAGCTGAGGAAGCGAGGAAGGCAGATGAGGCGCGAGTGGCCATGGCGGCTAAGAAGGCCGAAGAGGAGCGGCTCGCGAAGGAGATTGAGGAACGACTGGTCAAGGAAGCTGCCGAAGCAGAGGCGGCCAAGAAGGCGGAAGAGGAGCGCTTATCTGAGGAAGCCAGGAAGGCAGATGAGGCGTGGGTGGCCATGGCGGCTAAGACGGCCGAAGAGGAGCGGCTCGCGAAGGAGATTGAGGAACGACTGGTCAAGGAAGCTGCCGAAGCAGAGGCGGCCAAGAAGGCGGAAGAGGAGCGCTTGTCTGAAAAAAAACTTTCTGAGGAAGCCAGGAAGGCAGTTTCGGCGCGAGTGGTCAAGAAGCGTGCGAGGAAGGAGATAAAGTCGCAACTCAAGGCTTCATTTGATGTGAGAGTTTGCGTAGGCTGTGCGCGCGTGTGTGACTTTTGCACGTTGATGGAACAGAATTGTCCACTTCGCAGATACTTCGACACCGTGGAGTTTGGTGCAGCGCTTGCCTCTGTTTCAGACCATGCTTTCCGTTGCCCTGACTCCAGCCACGCCTTTTTGCCTGGTTGCAGGCCATTCCATGTGCAAGGAGTTCGTCAGACATCAGTGAGGCTGCTGGACGATACGGTCGCCCTGCTACCCAGAACAGCAAGCTGCCCACACTCTGGAGCAAATACGTGTGAAAGCGAGTTCGGAAGTTGCAGCCGCGACGGAGTGCAAAACGATGCCGGGTGCAGTGTCTCAAGCAGCTCCTTGCTGTGTGCACGGGGGAGGCAAACACATCGTTGACTGAAGGCGAGTATTGGAAGCCTTTTGTGCCTCGTGCGACAGTGATGTGCTTTCTCAACCTGAGCTGTAAAGGCCTCCCGACGTCTGCGACTTGCAGCCTTTTGGTTCAAGCCAAACATTTGCGACCACCGCGCGCGCTTCCGGCTGCACCCTCGGTCAGCTGCCATTCCATCTCGCTGAAGCCTTGAGCTGGACATGATTCGGGATGGTTGGTCTCTCAGTCTTGTCCCCTGTAATACGTTTTGTTGTAATTAGGACATGAGATGTTCTCTGGCTAGATTTGAATGACGCTGTTTAACGAGATGATAAACACGTCTCCCATGCAAGGCTTTTGTGCCCTGGTTGGCCAAGGCCCTTCGTCTCACATCCTGAGCCTTGTAGTGTTTCGAGCGCTGACAACCCTAAACCCTCAACCAATCCCATACATTCTATTTCTTTTCTCGGTTCGTGTGTTTTGCCACGCCGCATCAAATCGAGGCCAAGAAGAAGGCCCGAGACATGGCGCGATGCCCAGTGTTCCAACAAGGCTTGCGTTTGTTGGTCTGGCTAGGGTTATAAGGCTTACAGGGTTATGAGTTATGACTTTCAGCTTTTGTAGGGGTTGAGGCTTTTGGGTCTTAAGGCTTGTAGGGCTTGAAGCTTATAGGGCTCATGTCTCCACAAGCCCATATTGCAGAGCACGACTTCGATCCAGGAGGATGACATCATCGAAGAACTGGTGCCCGGCTTTGACGTGCACACTTGCTGGCTTTTCTGTCTCGTAGAATCTCCAATGTTGGGCCTCAGCTTGTGGACGTCCAGGTTTTGAGCTTGGAGGGTTGGGCTTGGTTGCGCCCGGGTTTGTGGTTTGGCTTACAATCCCTTTATAAAGCCCCGCAAGATTTACCAGACTCGTACAAGACTTCCCATCACCCATCCCCCACTGCATGCTATGAGGCATATATAGCAATATAGTGGGCTGTTTCTGCTCGAGGGTGCCATGAGTAAAGACGGAGCACCGGGCCCTGAAGACCCCGGTCCCATTGTGCGCATCGAGGGCCAGGGGACGTGCAAGGCCGCCTGCGCCAGGGCGTGGCGCGCTTCCTGGGCATCCCGTACGCCACTGCAGGGCGTTGGAGAGCGCCGCAGCCCCCGGCGCCGTGGACGGGCGTCCTCCCGCAGCAGAGGCGTCTCGTTGCGCATGGCGTTCTTTGAATGTAAAGCAAGGTTTTAGACCAAGACAGAGATGAAGAGGGCAGGCTCGGGGGCCCTGGCTCGGGTGCTGGTTGCATGTGGTGTCGCCTGGTTCGACATGACTGCATATGACTGCGCATCCATCTGTTAAACTTTAAATCCGTTACATCCCTTGAGGTTGGTGAGGTGTCCCCAGCTCGGGCCTCCGGGCAAGACCTATGAAGGTCACGTACTGGAAGATGATGACAACTGTTTGCAGCTGAACGTCTGGACACCGCTGAGTGCCTTGAGGGCAACAGCTGCCTCCCCAAAGTTGCCAGTCCTGGTTTACATACATGGCGGCGGTGGCAAATCGCATTCTGCTCATTGCCCCAGGCTCGCTGTCTGTTTGCCTTTGATGGCAAGTTCTCTTCATTCTTCTAGAGTCTGAACTAGACTGTATTTCAGGCTGGCAAGTCAGATGCAGCATCTGTAGACACTGTAGACTGGAACTGATGAATCCGTCGGCAGTTGTGCACTTGCTCTGTTTCTCTTCACTTCAATCGAGCATATGCCTTGCCCCAGGGAAAGTGGCCACCAGCTTGCCCTTAAACAAGGCAGCGGCTGCAAAACAGTTTAGTTTGTCAGTCGGCGCCAGTATAGGCGGTGTCATGACGCCGGTCCCCTCGAGGCCTTTGCTGCGTCAACATCAACTACCGCCTCGGGATCTTTGGCTTTCTCGCGCACCCGGAGCTGTCGCAAGAAGACGGGGAGAGCATCTCACAGGGAGGCACAGCAGGATCTCCGCGGGAAAGCCCATGCAGTGCAGATTTAGGCTGCTTCTTCGATGTTGTTACATGAATTTTGGATCCTGCCCGCTCTTCTTGCAGGATCTGGTAACTACGCAGTTCTGGAGCAGCTGTGTGCATTGAGCTGGGTGCAGCGCCACATCGCCAGCTTCGGCGGAGATGCAAGGAACGTCACCATCTGGGGCTTGTCCTCTGGGGCCCAGTATGTGTCCACCTTGCTGGTCTCGCCTGCTGGTCAGAACCTTTTCCACAGAGCCGTGGTGCACGTGCCAAGTTGGGGGGGCATGAGAAGAGAACCAGGGCTGAGGACCCGACAAACGTAAGCGAAAACGAGAAAGACCTACCAAACAGTGGTGAGCGTATAGATATGTATAGATGGAGTGCCCTTTCGGGATACTAGCAACAAAGACCCTACTCCTCCGTGTTGGGCCAGGGCCCGCCCGAGCGTAGGCCAGTTTCAACACCACCACTCGTCCATTCGCATCGGCGAACATCCCCCTTGACTTGAGGTGCAAAGCTGCGCGGACTTGAACAACGTGCGCCAGCTCGACTCCTCCTGCGACGTGCGCCTGGCGCAGCAAAACAAGTGAATTCGGGGGAGGGAAGCTTTGGAAAGGGCTTCTTCCGTTGGTGCTTTCTCCTGGCCGCTTCTCACCGAGGTGGCTTGGGAAGACGGCAGAGGCTTGGGGTGTGTGCCTTGGAGAGGAGCGCTGGCAGAGCAGCGCCGTATCCTACGAGAAGCCGATATTCAACATCGAACAACAAAGCAATTGGGCTTTAAGCGTCCAGAGTCCAGAGTCGGAGCGAAGTTAAGTGAGCTGGTCCCTCTTAAGACAGCTTAACGTCATCAAAATCATGTCGTCTCAGGAGCTGGGCTGCGCAGCTGGTGCTGGGCAATTGGCCGCCATGCGCGCGCTGCCGGCGCAGGCCCTGGTGGCCAAGACCTTCGCCTCAGCGGCCAACGACTGCTACGAGCCGGCCATCGACCGACGAAGCTCGTCGGTGAAGCCTTGGTCATCTGTGGAGGCGCTCAGGGAGGGCCGCTTCCAGAAGGTGCCGGTGCTGCTCGGCGTCACGGACCACGACGGCTTGGGCAAGGTACGGTTAACGTCGAAGACAACTCACACGGGCTCTAAAAAAAGGCTATAAAAAACGGTGAAAGGAGTGAGGGGCAGAGAGAGGTCGGGAGGAGAGGAGAGTGAGCGTTCCGTGCCTGTTGCAAGATGGAGCTGGAACAGACGCTGTTTCACGATGTGCGAAGCCAGAAGGAGCTGGAGGCCGGGGAGCTTCGGGGTGAACGATTTGAGTGGTTTAAGTGTCAGTAGAGGCTTTGCTTTCGAATGTCCGGGCACGTTTCGGAGCCGTCCCCATACGAGGCTCTCTTCTCCCGGGAGTTTGGGGAGGCCGCTGGTGCTGCCATGTCTCGCTACTGGCCGTCCGGGCCTTCCGAGATGCACGAGGCGAAGGCGGTACACCAAGCCCTCGGCAAGATGAGCAACGACCTCTGGTACTTTGCGGGCACACACTACATGAGCCAGCTGTTGGCACAAGAGACGCCAGTGTTTAGCTATTCTTTCGGAGGGCTGAAGCACAGTCCGCATGGCAGCGATGCCATGTACTGGAAGATAGGCGTTGCCGCGCCCTCCGAAGCAAATGACATGGCTACCCACTACGGAAAGGTAGCTTCCACCATGATACCGGACCTTTACATACTTTAGATCAAACATGATCAAACCCTATGTCTGCAACTTTCCAGGAGGGGGTAGATTCAACTTTCGGCCTTGCCCGTTCTTGCACTGCCTGCAGCACGAAACCGTAGATATAGCCAGCATTCCAGCCTTCTGGAGACCTCTCCTCCGCCACCGTCGTCGAGTCTGGCATGTTCGCCACCTGGGCAACAAAAAAACACTCAAACGATAAGCTCCGAACCGTACCTTATGATATGGTTTCTGTAAAAACGTGATACCCTATGTCGTACATGTATAGTCGTCTGCATAGTACTAGATAACATGCAGACTGCATATGATCAAACTATACTGAGTGTAGTTTGTTGTTTTGCATGGCAAGTTAAAGCCTTTCTTTGAGCCGACGCACGCAACCAATCTACTGAATCTACGTGTAGGTGTTCAAATCATGTAGGGATTGTAAGAGGATCACGATAGGACTGGTGCAGGCGTCTACGTTGTCTTGCAAAGTGCCAATCTGCACCGCGGCTCAGTTCTGTCAGATAGCGAACCAACATGCTTCTGCATTGGCCACCCCAAGACCTTTCCACTTGTGTGTAGCACCAACCATGCAAGCAAAAACCCCTATTCAATTTACAGTCTGCACCACCCAAGACACCGCTTGCCTTTCGCGCCGGCATGCCCAAGTTGTCGCTATCGGAGCTCATTTCACGCGTTGGTGTGCCAGAGCCAGAACTGCGACATGAGCCGACCTGGCCAGAGGAGGAGGAGGCGGAGGAGCAGGAGGATTCCGAGGTAAAGGAGGTGGAGGAGGCGGAGGAGCAGGAGGATTCCGAGGCAAAGGGGGAGGAAGAGGAGCAGGCGGAAGCCGAGGTAAGGGAGGAGGAGGAGGAAAAAGAGGAGGACCGCATCGTGGTTTGCCATATTCTGCTTGACATGAATGATTGATCCACGACCGGCACAGACATTTCTGCGAGGACGATGAGGAAATTTGCACCCCGCCAGATCGGACGCGCAAGATTGAGGATGATGATGGCTGCTCTCCATACGGAAAAGCGACCAAGCGGCCCCGGCGTTGCGAGGACTAGTTGATGTCAACAGCTGTCACCTGGACTCGTTGTTTATCGTCTCACTCCTCATACTGTCTTCTCTTTGAACTATTGGTCCATTGTCTCTGCTTGTTGGTTTCCGTTTCGCTGCCCTCCCAGCTGTCAATTCTTCTCACAGAGCTTTTGTGAGGAAGCGGAGCTCATCAAAATGGACCCAAACTGGGACTCAGACGTCAACTACGAGCTCACCAACGACCCAGATCCACTGCTGCTGGCACAGCCCACAGAGGACCAAGGCGACGACGCTGTACAGGAGGCCCGAAGCCTGTCGCACAAATCTGGGAGAAGGGATGCCAGCGCGCAGTTCTCATCCCCCAAGTTTCCCGCAACTGCGCCATGACAATCACAAGTACCCATGAGTAACCCTGTGCACAGAAATTTGATGATTCATCCAAAGCCTGAAAACCTGAAACCCCTTGCGCGTTCAACGTGGAATGTTGCAAGTACAGGTGCGGAATACGCACCCCTAGCTTGTCCACAATGGCGCACAAGCAGCGAGCCGTGCCACGCTGTGCCGATTCGGCGTTGTGGAAAAATATAGCATATGGGGTTCTGGGCGGCCCCGCAGCCCGAAAAGTGTAAGTGCCAAATATCGACAAGTGGTATACGTGTAGTAGCCTGTGGTAGATTAATGCATTCCCGAAAAAGACAGCAGCCAGATAGGGGACGCCCTTCCGCTGGAAAACAGCAAAATTGCAAAAACATGTAAAAGCAGACGGCCGACCGAAGCTGGCACAACGGTAAATCTGCATGAAACAAGAAAGGCGCAAGCGTGGGCCCCGAAACGGGAACCAGAGCGGAAAGAACGTTAAACGCGCAAATGCTGGCCGCCGACGTGTAAATGCAGCGAAACACGGCAAGAGTGCAAAAGCAGGCCGCCGCAGCGTCTAAACTAAGAAGGAAGGGAGGGAAGGCGGTGTGAACTGGGGGCCTTCCTCCTCCAACGAAACAGGAAATCTACATTCAAGTCTTTGCTTTCGCTGTTGATCAAACAGGAAATCTCGGTTTTGCGCTTTTGCACTCGTGTTGCCAAGCCAGCTTTAGCCCTTGGTGTTTGCTGTTTTGCAGGATATCGAGCGGAGGAGAAAAGGATTGGAGGTGGTGCCGGATTCTGCCAGCTGCAGTGGAGGGGAGCTTCAGCAAGTTACACAGGCAGCGCGATGCATCTCACATCTAACGCATTGGTGCATGCATCGTGAGACCCTCAACCCCGAATGTCTTACTGTATGTTTGAGTCAGGATCCGGGCCAGCCAAGCGAAGAATTGCTCCGTAGCATGGGCATCTACCGGAAGATCAACGCGGCTGAAATCGCGCAGGCGCTTATCCGTGAAGGGAAGACCGGGTGGAAGTACGACTGGTGGAAGAGCCCAAAGGAGAACTTGTGGAAGCTCCACCTGCGGTACTCCATGAACCGGCACAGGTCCTTCAGCTTTGAAGTTTGGGAGGTGTCCCGTGCTGGATCCTGGGGGTACCAAGCTAGCCTCACAAGTTGCATCTTGAAGGAACCCATTGTGGGCCGGACGAGTCCGACTGAGGAGAGCGCCAGGATGGCAGCCGCTGATGCTTTTTTTGCAACACCAGAAGCCCAGGATCTGACCGTAGGGGGTTCGGCAGCTTATTGTGTAGTTGTTTCTAGGCTTGTTCTGGGTGATTTTTCTTGTGCTTCGCACGGCTGCATTGTCCCACTTTTCTCCCACTAGTCGATGACGTGAGCTCACAGTATGGACTAGTCATCTCAGGAGTTTCTTGCACTGAAATCGTTCTATGTAAGAAATCATTCATGTCGAGCATGGAAGCCTCGCCACTTCAACGCCCCAATGGCAGCTGTTTATGTGGGGTTGAATGGGATTTGAAAGGAGCTCATGCCCAAGCTGCCGCCGACAATAGAGGCTGTCCGGAGCAAAGTGAACATGAATCGCCACGAGCGTAAGGGCTACACCGAGCTCAATATGAACCACAGCGCCGTCCTGAATGACCGCATCCAGGCCGTGTACATGGAGTTCCGAGACCTCGGATATCGGAATGAGCTGTGGGATGGCAACGGCTAGCTCAGCAGAAAAGCAGACGCTGCGACTTGCTTACGCCTCCGGATTTCTTCGTCCAGCGACGCCTAGTCACCCAGTAGCCGGCTCTTCTGGTACCCCTTGGACTTTATGAAATTCCCCCAAGCTGCTCTTTCTTCTAAGTTACCATTACAATGGCCCACTTAAATCCTTGACGTACGATCAGTAGGCTCCACCTCCAAATATACCGTCAACATATTCGGTCCGGAAAAATGGAAACAAGATGGACCGGGGTCTTGCTGGGGAATTGGACTCTTACTCTGTACAGCTACCGCTGGCAATTGGAATGGTCTCAGATTGTCGTACGGTCAGATGATATGGGTCGTTGAGGGGTAATGGAGTTCCTCGTTGATTGGCCGAAACACACGACACACTGTAACCCAAAGGGTTGTAGGGACATGTCAATGTGAGCATGGCCTTTCCGGTCTGCCGCCCCTGCGTTGCTTGTCCCACGTAGGTCCTGCTTGCTTCTTTGGCGAGAAGACGCTCCTGTAAGTAACTTCTGTTCCTTTGCTTCGATTGCAGCAGTTATTCTGTAAGGACTAGGCCGGGCTCGGAACAGGCATTTCCTGCACAGCGAACCAGATGAAAGTTGAAGAAGTATTCTACTGTAACCGCCGAAACTTTTGAGGGCGCATAGAATATGGAAGCCCGAGGGTCAATCGGGGCAATGGAGTAAGGCCGTGGTTGAACCTTGAGTCGGAAGCTCTCATGCGGACTGGTGGCTGGTGTCTTTTGCATCTCAATCTTGCGCACGTGTTGTAAGCCAAGCACATGCGAAGCCTGATGCTGCCCGTGGTGCTTGGATTCTGCAACTGACCCCGGCTCAGTTGCCAAGGGATGTACGTGTAGGGTTGTGCAGCTTGGTCTGCCGTGCGCATGGCGGGGCTATCGGCAGGAGCAGAAGTTGACTTGAGGGGGGCGGTTTTGTGACTATGCGTGAAAGGGCATGGGACAAGCATGGAACAGATAACAGGATAACCCAGGACATCGTTGAACATTCAATGAATCAACAGGAGCTCTTTGGGAGATGGCCGCGCAATACGCGCAGGCAATCGGGAAGTTGCAATGCACCCTGCAGTGCCATGCAGCATAACATTAAACTGATAAGGTGCCAAAGCCGATTAACTCCAGATCTTTTACTGTTAACCTCCATTCTCCATTTCCCTGAACGAAGGCTTGCTCCGACTGGTTGGCTCCGAGTGTGGTTGAGGTAAGCTTTGCGAAGCCTGGACCCTTTTGTTTGAGATGCAGGCTGAAAAGTGATTGATGGCACAGGCCGGCGTCACACCACTGACGTGTGCGGACGAGATGGCGTGCGAACTCCTTGAGCCGAAGGCCAACACTGCTAGCACGGCCTTGTCGAACAGGTTGACCGTTCGCCTCCTTGGTATCAGGTGTCCGACAGCATGCCAGACA